CTTCCGGCTCCCACAACAGCGTCATGACACTTCGCGGGCCGGTCGTAGAGGCCCGACTCTCCGGGTCATTGTAATCGCACCGAGCCGAAAGTCAGGAGTCTCATCAGAGGGAGGGGCTGGCCTCGCTGAAACTTTCGCTTTTTCAGGAATGCAGCGCGTGCTGTTCCGACGCTACAGCATGCAAACACCGGAGGGGATTATGCCAATCTGACGTGCTATGAACACTTCGGGAGCCATAGCCTACCTCCGCTCCCCAAAACCACACCAAGGGCACACGAGTCTGTGGGCAGGCCGAGGCGGTTGAGCCCTGTGATGAACGCCACCCTTCGTGCCGGCAACGTAGGCTCTGTCCCGGCCCGTTGAGCCCGATAGACCTCCTCCGCCTGGGGCGCTTGAGTGAGTGGTCAGAGGGGCAGACCGCCCTGGTCGGCTGGCCGTGTCGATGCCCGGATAGCCGACCAGCGCCGGTTAACGTTTTGTCGCCGTGTCTCCACCGCCGTGACCACTGTCCGCCGCTATGTAAATGGTTCTCGAGCGCACAATGCCGCATACATTACCCGGCCGGCAGCCGCGACAGACAACATGGCTCCGTTCGCGACCCCACGGAGGGCGTTCTGCCGGTCTGCTGCCCCCCCCCCCCCCCTCTCACCTCCCACACCCCCACCCGCGGGGGCAAACGACCAGGAAGCGGCGCGGCGCGCGCGCGGAGGGGAGGGCGCGGGTTAACGGGGGCCACAGGCGCGGCCGACCACGTGACAGAGGCCCAGATCACCGTGGCTGGCCGCCTTGCAGTGCAGCGCGGCTCGTACCCGAACCGGAGCAATTTGACACTTCTCAATAAGCCGACCAGTTGGCGTCACGGCGGCCGCTGGTGGTGGTGGTGGGGAAGGGGGGGGGGGGGTGGACGGCGACTGACCTGACACCCTGCAGAGGGTCACCGCGGCACCTCAGAAATTGTCAAACACCCCGGTCCCTCTCCTGACCGGTGGGGAATGTTTTGCCCCTGCTCCAGCCCGCCGGTGGTCCGCCCCAGCGCGCATCGCCAAGCCCCGGCCGGCCCCGCGCCCAGGCGCCGGGCTGATTCCCATTTTGACTGACAGATGGCAGTGATGCATGCCGACAACAACCCACCCGCAGCAAAAACGTGAGCGGGTCTGTTGTCGGCCCTGACATCGTACTCTGTCGGCGATGGCACTCGTCACGCTCCTACCGGAGGCGCATACCGCAACGAGCGCGTGCTACAAGTACGGGCAATTTCACTTTCGGATGTCTGGCGCGGCATAAGTCATGGCGGCGGCGGCCGGCGGCGGTTTGAATACTTCATCGGTCTTCTTTTCTGGGCGCGCGGCTCTCTCTCGCATTCCAGGCGTCCCTCCGGTTGGCGCGCGGCGCATGAGCCGGACGAGCAGCCGGCGCGGTGACTTGCAGCAAATAGATTACCTGCGATTCCAAAACAACTATGCACGATTTAAGCGGCCGCGATTTACGCTTGCAGCGGCGGCGGCGCGGACGCCGTCGCCGCCGCACTCCGTAAATAATCGCATTGGGATATGGAGATGAGCACGCGGCCGGCCGCTCGCCGGCGCATTCCGCGCGGCGACGCGGCGCGCCGGCCTTTTCACGTAGCACTCGCGCCCCGATATAATTTAGTGGCCGCTTACGGCGCGGCGATATTTCTCGGCGCGGCGCGGCGGTCGTTGCCGCGCACGCCGCCGCAGACGCGCCGTCCCCCGCCGCGCTAATGGCGATCCCCTTTGGTGCAAAACAAGGCCGCGCCGCGCGACCGTTGCGCAACGCGGCCGGGCGGCGGCGGCGGCCGCTGCAGCCGCCGGCCGCCGCCGCTGCAGCGCTCGCCGCGCGCACTGCGTGCTGACTTTCCGCGGCCGTACGTGGCCAGGATCGGCACCCGATAGGCAGTGACAAGCGGCCACGTTGAGCTAGGTTTTGCACAGTTATCATGTGAATCAAAACGTCACGTCGCTACCGGCTGGCTGTATGCACGCTCGAGCCGCGCTGGCTACATAAAAAATCGATCCAGCGCTTGACAGCTAACAGCTACTGGATTTGGAGCCGGCCGCCAACCGTACGGACCTTGATTAACAGCATATTATTCTGCATGCAAGCGGGCGATAGCCAAACATGTCGATGCCCCCCAGATCCATCAGGGCGCGGTATGCACCCGTCACAGATGGTATCTGGGAATAAAACGTCCAGGTCCGATACAAATCCGGCCGGCGCCTCGGCGCGCCGGCCCGTCCGGCCTGACAGCGGTCTATGAAGACGTCGGCGGCGTCCGCGGACCACCGGTCCAGACCGCGGACCGCGCGGACCACCGCCGCCGCCGCGTAATCCGCGCCTAAACGCCGCCCGGCTGCACGGGGCGCGCCGGGAAAAAGGCGACCCCCACCGGCCGGCCGCGCGGCAAAAACGACGCGCGCTGCATTCGGAATGCGCGGCAAACGAGCCGGCCGGCGGAGGCTCATCAGCGCCGCGGGACAACCCGGCGCGGCGTGACGTCACAGGAGAGCCCGTCGACTTAGGCCCGGGCCGCAAGACGGGCCCGGACCCAGCCATGCGGGCCTGGGCCCAACCTGGCGGGCCCGGCGGGGTGAGCCCTGACGGCACACGGCCCGCCCCGGGGTCCCCGGTGACCCAAGGCGGTCCCAGCGCGGCGGTGTCCGGCAGCGGCCGGCCGCAGTCCAGTGACCCCAGGGCCGGCTACGGGTCGCCGATCGCGCCGGACCCGTCCCGCCCGCGGCTGGAGCCGCCAAATTCGCCGAGAACCGGCCCGCTGTCTGAGAACGTCATTACCCTATAACGTAATAAGGCGCCGCCGGCCGGTAATTATTGAGCCGGTCGGGACAGGCAGTCTCGCGGCGCGCGGCTGCATGAGAGCGGTCGCCGCGCGCCTGAGAACCCGCGCTAAAACAATCGGCCGACTGGAAGCCGCGTAATCGCATCGGATTAACAATACGGGCCGGCCAGGATGTGGGGTCGTGATCCCCGGCCGAACCAGGCGCCGGCCGGGCACCCCGTTCATCGCCGATGTGCGTTCCGAGCGCGGCGCGGGCTGCTCGGACGGCACGTTCGCCGGCCATGGGGCGCTTGTCAAGTGCCCGCGAGGCCCTGCCGCTGTGCCGGGCGGGGCCGGTCTGCGGAGGCCTTGGCATGGGCGGCTCGGAGCGACCACTTCCAGCGGGCGGGTCTGTGGGTGGAGTGCGCAGTTCGCGGCAGACCCGCCGAATGCCGCGAGTCGCGTGACGGCGCGGCGTACGGCCCGAGGCGGCAGAGGAGCAAGCTCCAGCGCCGGGCGGCCGGCGGGAGGCCGGTCCGGCCGCAGCCTCTTCCCGGACGGGCAGCTCGCTTCCGGCGGCGCGGGGGCTGGTTTAGAAGGCTTCCGCCGGCGGCGCGCCCCGAGACTCACCGGTCAGACCTGGGGGGGGGGGGGGGGGGGGGGCACAGATCGCCGGCGGCCGGCAGACCCGAGGACAGCACGAGGCGGTCGACCGACCCCCGCCGGCCGCCCCTCGCTGTTTCAGGGGCAGACCCTGCGCCGCCTGTTTCGGCCGGCGGCCGGAGCGAGACTGTCCGTCCCATCCGCCCCCGCCGGTCACCCCTCGCCGTGTCGGGGGCGGACCCC